TTCCTCAACTAAGATGAATATCCATACCTTTTGGAAGTTTAGAAACACTGTATAGGTCTCCTCTGTAGCTTCTGTTACAATTTTATTTTAGAGTTTAATTAATATTTTTTTCCATGTTATAAATTCTGTGGAGGTGGATACCATGTCTGTGTGGCCTGTCCTTGTATCACCAGTGTTGGACACAAAGTAGCTGTTCATTAAATATCAATTGACAAAGTAGTAATCCAATGATGATAAGGTTGGGCTTATTATACACTCATTTGAAATAAAGTAGATGTTATCCAAACATGTGAAGGTATTGCATAGATAATAAATGAAAAAAAAAAAACAACACCAGAAACACAAAGAATAAGGCACTGCATGATTCCATTTAATAAGATGTTCAAGAACCGACAGAACTTAATGTTGTAGACATCACAATCTTAGCTATTTTCTGGAGTAAGGTATATGGACTACAGAGCGGTCTATGAGGGGAACCATTAGGGCACTAGAAATGTTTTCTCTACCAGGATGGTGGTAACAAGGAGATACACACACACAACCTACACTAACATATACAAATTTATCCCTTTTTAAAGAATGCTTTTCTATATGTCATATAACTCTTAAAAAAGGAAAATTTGAGAGGCATTTGGGGAAAATTAAATAGAAAACTAAATATTGCCGACAAATATGCCCACAAAACTTTGGTAAGTAAAAACAGACACTTTATAGGCCAATATACATTATGATCTTGTTTTATTTTTAATGTTAATTACAAATAGACAAATTATAATGTATATATTTTTAAGGTACAAAATAATGTTATATATATACACACACACATACAACGTGGACTGATTAAATCAAGCTAATTAACATCTATCCAAATACTCACTTTGTGTGGTAAGAACATTTGAAATTACTCTTAGCAATTTTGAAATATACGCTATTAAGTACAGTCAACATGCTATTCAGTAAACATTAAAAAACTTATTTATCCTGTCTAATCATCAACTCCTTGTTCCCTTGCCCCAACCGTCATTCAACTATCTGTTTCTGTGAATTCAAATGTTTTAGATTCCCCATGTAAGTAAAATCAGTATTTGTCTTCCCATGCCTGGCTTATTTCACTAAGCACAATGTCCTGCAGATTCATTTATACTTCTGCAAATGATAGGATTTCCTTCTTTTAAAAGATGAAATGGGGGCTGGGTACAGTGGGGGAAGTTTGTAATCCCAGCGACTCTTGAGGCTGAGATAGGAGGATCTCCAGTTCAAAGCAAGCTTCAGCAACAACGAAGCACTAAGCAGCTCAGTGACACTGAGGCTCCCTGTCTCTAAATAAAATACAAAATAGGGCTGGGGATGTGTCTCAGTGGCCGAATGCCCCCAAGTTCAATCCCTGGTACACAAAACAAACAACAACAACAAAAACCCCCCACATTTTCTTTATCTATTCACCCACTGATGAACACTTAGTTGATTCCTATCTTGGCTGTTGTCAATCAAGATACAATAAACACGAGAATCCTGATGTCCCTTCATACTAATTTCATTTCCTTTGGATATATACTCCGTAATGGGATTGTTGGATGTTATGAAAGTTCATTTAAAAAYTGTTCATTTTCCATAATGGCTGAATGAATTTACATTGCCACCAAAAGTATGAAAGGCTTCCCTTTGTTTCATGTCTTCCCTAATACTCTTATCTTTTTGATAACACTCATTCTAACAAGCAATATCTCACATGGTTTTAAATTTCATCTCCCTGAGGTTAGTCATGTTGAGGATTTTATACACACACACATATACACACACACACACACACACACACACACACACACACACACACATACAAACACCCCTGTTGGCAATTTGTATGGCTTCTTTTGAGACTATCTATACAAGCCCTTTGCCCAATTTTAAACTGATTTGTTTTGTTATTGAGTTCCTTATGTATGTTGGATATTTACCCTTTATCAGAAGTAAGGCTTGCAAATATTTTCTCCCAGTCCACTGGTTTGTCTCTTCCCTCTGTAAACTGTATCCTTTGTCATGCAGAAGTTTTTTAGTTTGATGTAATTCCATTTTTTGTTGCCTTGAGCTTTGGGGGTCAAAACCAAAAAATAATAATAATTGCCCTAACCAATATATCACTTTTCTCTCCATTTTCTTCCAGTATTTTTACAGTTGCAGATTTATATTTAAGTCCTCAATCCATTTTGAATTGATTTTTGTATATGGTGTGACAATTACGGGTCCAATTAGTATACATGTGGGTATCAGTTTTGCCAACACCCTTTATTGAAGAAACTGTCCTTTCCCCATTRGGTAATTCTGGCACCTCTGTGGAAAAATCAACTGGCTGCAGATGTGAGGGTTCAACTGTAGGCTCTCTATTCTGTTCCACTGGTCAATAAGCTGTTTTAATTACTATAGCTTAAAATCTGGAAGTGTGATGCCACCAGCTTTGTTGTTCTTGCTTAAGATTGCTTTCACTATTCAAGAATTTTCTGTAGTTTCATATGAATATTGGGAATTTTTTTCTATTTCTGTGAAAAATGACATTAGGGTTTTGATAGGGGTCACACAAAAACTATAGACTGCTTTGGGACAATCTATGAAGGACATTTTAACAATATTAATTCTTCCAATCCATGAACACAGAATATCTTCCATTTTTTGTACCTTCTTTAACTTCTTCCATTAATGCTTTATAGTTTTCAGTGTATAGATCTTCCACCTCCTTGATTAAATTTTTGTTTTTGCTATTATAAATAAGATTGCTTCTTGATTTCTTTTTCAGGTAATTCATATAAAAAAAAGCACAACTGATTTTTGTATTTTGCAACTTTATTGAATTCATTTATTAGTTCTAACAGTTTTTTGTCGAAGTCTTAACGGTTTTCTACACATACTATCATGTTGTCAGCAAACCACTCACTTCTTCCTTCACAGTTTAGATATCTTTTATTTCTTTTTCTGGCCTAATTTCTCTGGCCAGAACTGCCAGTACTATGTTGAATTGATATGGCAAGAGTAGACATCCTTGTCATATTCCCTACGTATTGTTTTGATAAAATACACATATTTGTTCTTTCTTCTGATTTCTGCAAGTGACTGAAATCCCAAAAAACTAGTGTAGGCAAAAAAATCCATTTATTGACACATTTCTGGAAAGTTCACTTAAGCCCACATACCCATAAATAATTTTTATTAAGAAATTCTGTCAGGGCTGGAGATGTGGCTCAGCGGTAGCGCGCTCGCCTGGCATGCGTGCGGCCCGGGTTCGATCCTCAGCACCACATACCAACAAAGATGTTGTGTCCGCCGAGAACTAAAMAATAAATATTAAAAATTCTCTCTCTCTCTCTCTCTCTCTCTCCTCTCTCACTCTCTCTAAAAAAAAAAAGTTCACTGTTTGAATTTACTTGTAGTAAAATAAATAAATAAATAAACAAACCAATATAACTTTCCTACAATTACTCTCTTTTTAAAAAAAAAAAAAAAAAAAGAAATTCTGTCAGGGCTGGTGTTGTGGCTCAGTGGCAGAGTGTTTACCTAGCATGTGTGAGGCACTGGGTTCGATTCTCAGCACCACATATAAATAAATAAAATAAAAAGGTCCATTGACAACTAAAAAAATATTTTAAAAAAAGAAAAGAAATTCTGTGAGCCAGGCATCGTGGTGCACCATCAGTAATCCCAGCAGCCTGGGAGACTGAGGCAGGAGGATCCTAAGTTCAAAGCCAGCCTCAGCAACTTAGTGAGGCCCTAAGCAACTCAGCAAGACCATGTTTCTAAATAAAATATTAAAAAGGGCTATCAATGTGGCTCATTGACTAAGTGCCGGGGTTCAATCCCTGATACCAAAACCAAGCCAAAACAAAACAAATTCTGAGAAACTCTCACCCATTAGAAAACTAAAAAATATTAGGGTACCCCTCAGAAGTGAACATGAAAATGAAAAGAATTGTGTTTGTACATCTGGAGAGAAATGTGCTATGCATTTATAGAAGAAAGTGAAAATAAGCTATAGTTTTCAAACATGGAGTCCCTAGTTAAAAAGATACAAAGATATTCTCTGAAATATAGGCATTTGAGCTGCTTCTCCGATGCACAACTTTATAGCTTACTTCAAGTAAATAACAGCAAGAATTCACTTAATGATTCTGATTCGCAACAGAACTACAGGAAATTSCAGGCTGACAAATACTTAGGACTTCCAAATATAAAAGTATCCCCAAATCACATGAAATCCAATTCACACACAAGGCTTTATTTTAAAAAGTCCAAGTCAAAAGTTGACACATAATATTAGTTTTACAACTATTATATTTCAAAGAACGTTAAAGAATCGGGTATTTTTTAAATATCCCAAATATTCCATTCTTCTAGTCATTCATCAATCATGAGTACTCATAATAACAGACTAAACCAGGATAAGTTGCTGGTATCTATTCTGACTCACAAAAAATGGTAATTTCACATGGTTCAATCTAAAACTCAACATTGTTCCAGTAGGTCACAGCAGTGAAAAGACAAGCTCCCTGATGCACTTACACTATGAGAGAGAGAAAGAGTGTGTGTGTGTGCGCGCGCGCGCGCGCGTGCATGCGCACATGTGCATGCAGTGTATACACATACTTATTGGGGCAAGGGAGGGGGACATAAATGAACAACCAAATATGGTATATCAAATATTTCATACTTCAGAAAATGATAAAAACATAGGAAATAGTTGTTGCTCTTTTATATGGGTGAACAGCGAAGGCCTCAGTGTTAACATTTAAGTAAAATCATAGAGAAAGAGGCTACAGGCACGATAGCAAAAGGAAAACCAACCATGAACTCAAACCTCTAAAACTGTGAGCCAAGATAAATCTTTCCTCCATATAAATTGATTCCCAAGTGTTTTGTTACAGTGACAGAAAGCTTATTAATAAGAACACTCATCTTTAATTCATGTTTTCAATCTAATAAATATGTGTAACGAAATACACAAAGATTATTCTTACATCTTTTGGAGAACCTGGGCCATCACAACCCCATTCGTTAAATCTTCCACGGTCTGGCATGGTGTATCCACGTTAAATGTCTGGATCTGAAGGAAAAAAAAGATTCTATGATTAACTAGAAAAGATTTCTTGGGCTTTTGGGGATTGATCATCTCATCTTAGGGGTTAAAATAAATGTTTTAAAAGAAAACAATTGGAAACTTCTTCCTTTAAAGGAAACTTACTCTAAATTATTATTTTAATTTTTGGGAAGACAGAAGTTGGGTAGACTAGCCAACTTCCCAGCATCCCTTCTAACCACAGATGATCAATTTAAGAAAATCATCGTACCTTCAGCCCCTTCACCAGTGACTAAGTGAAAAACAGGTTGAACACAATTTGGAACAAAGAGATACACAAAGATGCTTCTGGGAAAGAAAAGTCCACCTATTGACATGAGTAAGTCTATATTGCCTCAATTATTGCTAGCAGTCATCTTTGGAATACTAAAGCAATGAGGCCAAGGTAATGGAAAGCAGAGAGGAGGAAGAGAAAGAACTAGGTACTTGGGGTAAAAATTGAACCCTTAAATTAAAAAACCTTAAAGCCTCCTATTGTGTGAAATAAATTTCTTTCTTGTTTAAGCCTAGCCAGGTTTAGGTTTCTATTACTCAGTGCCAAAGTATCTTTATATAGATGGAGAAGTCATATTTACCATGGTTAGGTTAGGTATTCAGTTCACTTTGATTTCAAATATATTCTGAATATGAACTAACTTCATATTGTCAACTGGATGTGGCTAAGAAATGTAAGAAAAAGTAGTAGAGCCAACAATAATTACAACCAGAAGTCCAATCTGGATTTAGAAGAAAATAAATCACTAGGAATAGACAGACATGGGGCATCCTCTTTTAGACCTTATAATTTAGTGAAACAATATTATAAGAAGTGTAAACAGCAAACACAAAAGAGTTTATAAGTGAGAGTGTGATATACTATAGGAATTAAAATAAGCCTGGTATGGAACTGGGCATAAAGGGTGAAGTTTTCAAGCTGTAGGAAGAGATGGAACACAAAAATATAAAATAGTAAAGGATAGGACTCAAGAAAGAAACATTATCACCAAAATCTCTGTAAGCCATAGTAGGACTTTATCCTAAGAGCAATGGGTAGTAAGCAAAGGATTTTAAGCAGGAAAGTGAAGTCATGAGATTTAAGCTGTATAAAGATTATACTGGATGCATTTTAATACATTTAGATGAGGATAAACTAGGAAGCAATGATGGAAATACAGGAAATGATGCTCAGGTGACCATCTATTTGTATTTATTGGGTTAAAAGAGGCAAAATTGCAAGGTCAAAAATATGCCTGTTTTAAAGTTCTAGGATTTTTGTGTTTTTTTCTTTTGAGGTGGGGTCTCCCAATGCTGCCCAGGATGGGCTCACAATCCTCCAGCCTCAGCTTTGCATTTAGCAGGGATTATAGGTACATACTGCTATATTCAACACATTTTAAAGTTTTTGATAAATACTGCCAAACTACCCTCAATAAAGCTCATGTGAGAGACAAAGCAAGAAAGTTTAGAGATGAAATGGTTGAGTCATAAGAGGTTTAACATAACTGGGGCATTAATCCCTGGATAGGAATTAATTTGGTGGTTTCTATAGGCAGATAAAATATGGCTGGAGGAGGTTAAGATGTTAGGGGCATGCCTTTGGGTTTTATATTTTGCCTGTGTTGAACAGAGCTCTCTACTACCTGATCATGAACTGAGCTGCTTTCCTCCATCATACCCTTCTGCCACAATGTTCTGCCTCACCTCAAGTCCCAAGGAATGGAATTAGCCATCTATGGAATTAGCCATCTATGGAATTAGACCTGTGAAACTGGGAGCCTCAAAATAAACTTTTTGTCTTTAAAATTTTTCTTGTGAAGGCTTTTGGTCGTAGCAATGAAAAAGCTAACGCAGAAATTAGTACCAGGATTAGGATTACTGCTGTGACTAACCTGACTACGTGGTTCAGAAGCTTTGAAGCTTTTTGAAATTTGTGGAAGGAATTTTGAGAAACAGCAATGCAAGCTGGAAAAGTTTTTGACTGTTGTAAGCACAGCTTAATGGGTAATTATGGTGGGAGCTCAGAAGACCAGAATGCTGGGAGGCCTGCGCACAGTAAACACCAAGCTCATAAGGTTTCAGAGGAAAAGGAGGATTCTATTGGAAACTGGACTAGAAGCCATTTGTGTTGTGTTTTGGCTAAGAATTTATCTGCATTTGTCCATGTCCTGAGACATTCTGTGAGGCTGAATTTAAAGGCTTCTTAATTTGGTGGAAGAAATTTCTAGGCAGCATAGCAGTCAGGGGATGGCATGGATATTGCTGACAGCTTTTAGCCAAGTTTATTTTGATAGGAGCAGAAAGCAAAGCAGAAAGATTTAAAGAACTTGCAATTTGGCCAGAAAACTGATTAAAAGTGGGGTAAAGCAATGTGTGTGTTGTTAAAGACATAGTTGTTAAGATACATACAAAAGTATTGTTTTTTAAGACTCAGACAAATTATAGTCACTAAAGATATGCTAAAGACTGCCCTGAGATGATAGTAAAGATGGCTTGAGGACATCTCAGGAATTGGCAAGACCAAACCCATCTTAGGCTCAAGGGTGTAAAGTAAAAATCCTATGAGCAAAGACCAGAGCCCACTGGGACACCCTACTTGCACATGAAGGAATAGTAAATTTTTTCAACATGCCCAGCCACCCAGGCACTCAAAGGCTGCTGCAGTCATGGTCCCTGGAGGCTTGGCTACTGCTCAAGATGGCAGCAGACCTTGGTATTTACCACATGGTGCTGGTTCTGTAGGGACTGCAGGATGCAAGAATTTGGGAGTCATGGAGGCTTCCACAAAGATTTTAAAGCAAGGCCTAGAAGGCCAGGCAGTGTTGCAGGGTCAGATCCCTGCAGTCTGTGCCTATAGAGCAATGTGTAGAAATGTGAAGAGAAAACTGAAGCTGCAGTGGAGAACCCCCAAGATTCAAAAATGCCAGTACCATGTGATGCCTGTCCAGGAAAACTGCAGGAATTGATCAGAGACAAGCCAAAAGAGACCATATGGGCTACAACCAGCAAAGCCATTGGGGTGGAACTATGCAAGCCCTTTGGTGAGAATGCCATGTGCCCCAGATGCTGGACATGGAGCTCTAGAACTTGTTTGACCAATTGAATTTCAGTCTTGCTTTGGTACCATCCCTTCTTTTCTATGCTCCTATTTTTCTGAATGGAAAAGAGCACTCTGTACTCTTTATATATTGAATATGTTTAACTTGCTTTTAATTTTTACAAGAGCTCATGCTGAGAGTTTGTCTTGAGTCTCAGTGGTGACTTGGACTTGAACCCTTGGACAATGCTAAAATTGCTAAGGAAACTCTTGAAAATGGATTTTGCATTGTGAGATGGGCATGAGCTTTTGTGGGCCAGGGCAAAATAATATGGTTTAGATATTAGGTGTTCGTTAAAAGCTCTTAAGTAAGACAATGCAAGAAAGTTTAGAGATGAAATAACTGGGGTTTAAGAAGTTTAATGTAATCAGTGCTTTAATCCCTGGAGGTAACTGTAGGCAGGTAGGGTGTGGTTGGAGGAGGTAGATCCTTGGGGGGTRTGCCTTTGGAATTTATATTTCATCCTTATTTAGCAGAGCTCTCTGGCTTCCGGCTGGTAAAGTCCTGAGCTGTCTTTCCTCCACCACACCTTTCCAACATGATGTTCCGCCTCCACTCAGGCCCCAAGGAATGGAGTTGGCCACTTTGGAATAAGACCTGTAAACTCATGAGCTCCAAAATAAACTTTTCCTCCTCTACAATTTTTCTTGCCAGGTCCTTTGTTCACACCATGAAAATCCCCCACTAAAACCGAAATATTGTAGCAATTTACTCTCTTACTAACAGTGAAAGAATTCTACTTCTCTGCATTACTCCATCTATAAAATCTTTTAAAACAGAACTGTTAACAATAGAGTCATAGCTTCTTCAAATTTTACATAGAACAGTCTCATGGGTAATAATGGTTAAGTGGCAGAGGCCAAGGGAATTATCTTAAAGATCCTCATAGAAGGTAGTTTTTACTGAGGCAAATATTTTGGAAGGTGGTGAGAAGCTCTCAACATAATGCATRCACTAATAAAATACTAGTAAATGAGCTAGGTACAGTTTTACATGCCTATAGTCCCAGGCATGTAGCTGAGTAAAGCAGGAGAACTGCCAGCCTGGGTGACATAAAAAGACCCAAACTCAAAAAAAAAAAAAAAAAAAGTAAATGAATAAATGGAACAAATAGATAATCATCTGCAGGAACTGATTTAAAACTTTACCATATGATCAGATATTACATAAWATAGTAAAAACTTAAAAATAAATTAGTACTTATTTTCATTTTAGCAATGATAAATTAATTAATTTATAAATTTAAAAAAAAAAAGCCTTTCTTGTAGGTTTGTTTAGAAGGAAAGTGAAGCAACAGGGAGGACACTATCTCATTTATCTCTTCACCACTAACCTTAGTACAATGTCCCATACAGAATAAGCCCAGAATGTATAAATATTTCTTCAAATGTAGTGAACTAATTTTTTTATATTTATTTTTTAGTTGTAGTTGGACACAATACCTTTATTTCACTTATTTATTTTTATATGGTACTGAGGATCGAACCCAGGGTCCCGYACGTGCGAGRTGAGCGCTCTACCACTGAGCCACAACCCCAGCCCTAGTGAACTAATTTTCTTAAAATACTTTTTTAATTATACATGAAAACAATCTTTATTTTGTTTATTTTTATGTAGTGCTGAGGATCAAACCCAGTGCCTCACATGTGAGAGGCAAGTGCTCTGCCACTGAGCTACAACCCCAGCCCAATGAACTAATTTTAATCCCTAACTTTACTTCTAAATTGTTATATAATCTTAGATATTTCATCTGTGTTTCCATGTAAAGACAGGGAAGCTGGGCACAATGGTGCATACCTGTAATCCCAGTGCTCCCAGAGGCTGAGGCAGAAGGACTGACATTCAAAGTCAGCCTCAGCAAAGGCAAGGTGCTAAGCAACTCAGTGAGACCTT